TTTTTTGTAAACTCTTTGACTTACTAATTTTAAGAAAGAGATAACTAAAATGGAGGTTGTAGTTTCAATTGAATTTATTTTTTTATATTTTAGCGGGTACCAGTGAACCGAACCGTGGTTACCCGCTTTCATACGGTTCGGTTCGGTTCGGTTTTTTTGTCAATACGGTTTGGTTTCGGTTAGTGCGCATGAGGTACCCGCCCCGTGGTCATGGTTGATAATTTTATTACTATCCGAACCGATCCGACCCGTGAACACCCCTAATAACATCTAATGCTGAAAAACAAGTTAGCGTCATGAATTGTAACTTGTTAAATTATATCAAATATCATATTATATCATCTATTATATTAAACTTGAAATGTTTCATTTTAACTTTTTTTTTTTTAAAATTAATAATGATTTTATTATTATTGACAATACATGTTTTTGCTAATTCATATGGGTAAACAAATGATATTTGATTAATTAATTTACATTGCTACTTTTTACATTCCAACACCAACTATAGGAAATTAAGAAGGAACTCTAGACATTCCATAAAGATAGGCAACAAGTACTTATTTTTAGGATTTACCTATTACAGGGTAGGCTCATATATCAAAAAATTTCACAGCCGCAAAATAACATTTATAGAATTATTTGGAATTTGCCATCTTATAAGCTAAAAAATAAAGAAGTTACAAAAATCATCGATGACCGAATAACCAAATCATAAACCTCTGGATTATGATTTGGTTATTCGACCATATATGATTTTTGTAGCTTCTCTACTTTGAGATGACAATGGTGTTATGGACAATTAAGTAGGCATATGCTTTATAAGTTGACCCAATTTGGTGTCTCGATAAATGAGAAAAATCTCCCGTTCTGATTTTATCCAATGAAAAGGCTGCATCCCATCCAATCTCGTAACATTTCAAAAGTTACTAACCACCTAGGAGTAGGTCTTCAAACTAACACAAAAATTGTTCCTACAACTCACGTGCATACATCTTGCAAGAAAGTCTCACATGTGACTCCGGGCTCCAAACGTGTTTGAGTGTCCAAACTAACCGTTTAAATTCTCAGACAATGTGCAAGAAGAAACAAGAAAATGAGTGGTTAATTGATAGTGTCTGCTCCTTACACATGATTAGAGGGCTAGAATACCTTTGCAACTTTAGGCCTATCTGTAACGGTGGAAATGTCACGTTCGAAAACAACGCCAATGGAATCATCAGGGGATACAGTGTATTGACCACGAGAAATTTCTCAATTCAAAAGGTTGCTTACGTAGAAGGCCTCAAGCATAACTTAATCAACGTGGGCTAACTATATAAAGCTGGTCATAGGGTTAAATTATTACATAATGAAGAGTGATAGAAGCACATGATTGATCAAATCCAAATACGAAGGGAAAATGTATCATTTGGATGTCTTACTGATCATTGGCAAACTGCAGTTTTGTTTTCTATCCAAAGTTAGTTGGTTATGACATCGCAAGCTAGTTCATATGAACTTCCGGTATATTAATAACCTGGTCACTGAAAAACTTGATCGTGGTCTCCCCATTCTAAAGTACAACAATGATACATTTTGCCCAGTTTGTGATTTAATGGACCACTTCTACTATGCAACCTTTATGTCCTCAGTCTATCCAAACCAACTATAACAAATTTATCTAAACATTGATTTCTTATGTAATATATGATGACATTGGGGCATGCTAGGACTTTCAAATTTGCCTAGTTATTGTAATATAATATGTTTGAACCGATGTATTTTTTCAACATTTTTATTTTATTTTGTAATTTCTTGTAATTTATATATTACCCGGCTAAAAGCAAGAATATTAATAAAAATGTTAATATCATAAATAGATAAATAGATAAATAGATAACAAAATATTAATAAATGGATAACAAACTATTTTGGATATTTAAAAAAACATAATTGTTTTAAATAACAATACAATTAAAAGATAAGCAATTGGACATTTTGTTAAAAACCATCAGAAATCCTTATTTTAATAACATTTTATTGAAAAAAAATGTTTACGTTGTTGGCATTTTTATGCAAAACAATAATGATTTGTTAAAAAAAATAACAAATAACTCATTACGGATTTATAACATTAACTCTAATTAATTGCTTCTTAGACAACATCTACCTTCGGTTAGCCAATTTAGGGGTTGTTTGATTTGGTGCTAACCCGGTCCGGTCAGACGAAAACATCTGATGTCAGAGGTTTGATTTGTGAATATTGTGTCTGGTCCAACCCATTTATCTGACCCGATCCATAATTACGTTTGATTTGTGAATATTGTGTCTGACCCAGCCTATTTATTTGATCCAGTCCATAATTGTGTCTGACCCAGTCCATTTATTTGACTCGGTCCATAATTGTTACTAATTTAGTTCGCCAAAAAAATAGATGACCGAGGAAAAGACATGTTTTGCCCCTATTTACCCAGCAACGCAACCCGGACGACTCACATACTCCATCGTAGATCATCTATCGTCGCCCTTATCCTCCATCTCCATTGGTAAGGCTTGCAACCGATTTGTGATACCCTTGTCTCTCCAATCTTCATAATATTTAAAACTTCTTCAATTGCAATCGATTTTTGTAAGGTCTTTAATTTAATTTCTACAATCGATTTTCCATTATGCCCTAATCTTCGCTCCACAAAAACAAAGACTTCAGTTATGGTATGAGCTTTGATTTGATAATTTTGAATTTGATAATCTAAAAATTGGAAGATATGTTCGATTATGGTGTTGAATTTTTGCTCAAGACATTTTTGAAGATGGTTAGTTTGGATGTTAACGATGTTTTTGGTCAATAACGAAGACGTATTCGTTCCAACGATCGCCTGAGTGAAGCCTTGAAGTTCCGATCTTCAAGTGTGCGATTCGAAATTGCAAAGAAAGAATGAGCACAGTGAAAATTTGCTTTGTGATTAATGCATTGAAAGTGAAGATGACAAAAGAATTGGTGATATACGAAGCTTTAATAGTGTATTGTTTCGATGGGTCAAAGATTGTTTTCACAATGTCAAAGGTAGAACAAACTTCATTTTTATTCTAATTCCTTTGTACTCTTAAGTGGAATATAATTAATTTTACCAGATACACGAGACAATATTCGGGTAACATAGACATTTTTCATAAATCACCACAGTTAGTCAAAAATATAATGAAACAATATGATTTTAGTTACCCAACCAACAACTATCAAACGGTCTATTAACCATCTGACTATGTGGGTGGGGTTGTTGCTAAAATAGAACATTGTTCACCAGTTTTTTCCATTTTAAACAAATGAATTTTTATGGGTATAACATATACTATATATACAAAGAACATCACAATCAACAACACGACAACTTCAATAAAAATAGTTACTAAACAGACACTTTTCTCAAACATACAACAATTTTATTGTTGAGCAACATCAAACTACAACCACTAATTAAAATACAACAATACAACGCATTTCAAGAGAACAAGTGCTTGTTTGAGGTCAGGGCTCCAAACAACATATCGTAAAACATTAAATAGATACTTCCTCCGATCCTGGCTTCCAATAAAGAAAAGTAGCATCATTTATGATTAACCGATTACGAGCTTATTATATTATATATGTCATAATCTTAGCCAATTTGAGGTTTCCTTCTTGAGTTGCTAAACAGAATATGATCTAGTTTGTCCTATTCTGAAGTTCCAAGTCCTCTTTTTGTAAAATAGTTTTTTGCAAATTACTTTGTTTGCATATTTAACTAATACCAAACACTTGAATCCAAGCATGATTGGTGAGGAACACAAATCTTGTTGCTCTCTTTTCCACCTAAAAATATCATCGATATTTTGTCAACAATAATGGAGAAAAGAAATGCAAAGAAATTATGATGAAAACAAGAACTTGTAATGATAACTATCTCCTAATGCAGAATACTTACAAAGGGTATCAGCTTCAATATACTTCAAGAGAACCCAAACTAAAACGCATTTCAAGAGAACCCAATTCACGAACCGCAATAGCCCATAAGCTTCATGTTTTCCAAATAAAGCAACAACATACCCTCGCATCATTCTATTTCCATCTACAACTGATAAGCACAAAATATAGGAATTGTTCAAAACACGGAACGTAATCGCCTAATCGGATCATAAATTGGTTTAAATATAGCGATTTTATATTTTAAATGGTTCGATCTTCCGATATCTGTTCGAATAGAAGTTCATACACAAGAGATTTGTTGGAAGAATTTACCTTGAGGTAGATCTTCATTTGATAGACATGGTAGTGATCGATTTGAAGAACTGGGGAAGTTAAAAGGGTGCTCATGTCTATTGGTTTTCAGGTCGCTGTTGGTACCCAGAGGCAAACCAGTCAGGCTCATCTCTCCGACTGCCTTCCGGCCTGTAAAATGACGACGTGTAGATTGTAAAATAGAGAATAGAGATGATTGGCGCATCTTAATGGATTAGGTCGAATAGTTAGATACTGACTTAGTGACTTGTATAAGTGTGAATGTTGGAATCTAACCTTAATCTCAAAATTAGTCCTTGATAAATAGTGTATTCCAACAATGGTCCCTACACTTATTATCAACATACGTGTTTGGTCCCACGACTTTAATTATTCAAAGAGTAATAAGTAATCCATTTTATTGGCACAATGTCATAGTTTCACTCTAAGTTTCAAAATTTTAGCAAAACCAAATATTTATGGTTTCATTTTGCTAGGGTTTTAAGCACCATAGTATCGATTTAAAATCGAAACCGCACTATTAAAACCAAAATTGCAGGACAAAACCAAAATTGCATTGCATGACAAAACCGCAAAACTCATTCATTGGAAAAACCACACCTTTAAGCATACAAAACCACTTTGGAGAATCATTCACATAAATTTTGGAATAGGTTAATACACATAAGATAATATATAAGATATTGTGTTAAATATTATTGGTAATTTACGTGAAGTAAGATCTATATTTATAAAAGCATAAAAAACGTAACGGCTTTAATTTTATTTTCATTCTTGTAATTCGTCAAATATAATTAGTCTGTGATCCGTTAAAATCTACTTTCCATACATATTAATCGGAGAAAACCACTTCCATAATAATACTGTGATCCATCTCGTACCATTTATCGAAAAGCCAATTGGAGAAGATTTTTCTTGCTGTGAAAGTTTTTGTTCGAAAATGGGACGATTATTCTTCGTCGGCGGCAACTGGAAATGCGTAAGTATCCATTGCGATTTCGATTCGTGAGTCGCAATTTGTATATCTCGATCATTTGACGTATATCTTCTATTGATTTGTGTTGCGTTTCTTTGTCAATATCTGTTTAATCTTCCATTGCATAATAAGCAATTGCTTGTTGTTTATCTAATAAGAGCCTGTTTTGAATGAACAGTTGTATCATCTCACTCGTGTTGATTTTGTCAATCATTTGATCATTTCGAATATGTAATCGTTTGAGGATTGATTTATTCTTCTCTTCGATTGTTTTCAATGGATTCTGAAACTTAATTTCATCGATTTGAAGGAAAATCAATCACACGAATAAATGTATTCATTATCGTGCTAGCCTTCAAGGATTAGCTTCCTCCTTCTATTGATATGATGATTAAGGAGATTGATCTAACCATCTTTTTATTGTAGAATGGAACCTCGGAGGAGGTTAAGAAGATTGTGTCAATACTTAATTCTGCTCAAGTGCCATCTAAAGATGTTGTAGGTAAACCCTAAACAATACCATGTTCTGATTTCATTACAAATGCTTATGAATTCATTCCTCTTTGGATTTTGATAAGATATATACATTCTGTTTTCATGTTTGATATCTCAAACTCAACCATTTTCCATTTTCAGAGATTGTGGTGAGCCCTCCTTTTGTCTTTATCCCCTCTGTTAAAAGCGAACTGAAGCCTGAATTTCATATCGCTGCTCAAAATTGTTGGGTTAAAAAAGGAGGTGCATTCACCGGTGAAATTAGGTATATAAGTATATTTCTTTACATTTAATCAATCTCCTCAAAATCATTCATTAATCTATTAGACCTATCCCTTTTTTTGTATATTCAGCGCAGAGATGCTTCTGAACTTGGGCATCCCTTGGGTTATCGTTGGTCACTCTGAAAGGAGAGCTCTAATGAACGAATCAAACGAGGTCCTTTTTTTTTAATTAAATAATTTCTTTATCCCCATTTGATAATGAAGACGTTAATAGGATTATGATTTACATTTAACTTTTCCAAATTACTTTTTTTTTTTTTTTTATCAGTTTGTTGGAGACAAAGTTGCGTATGCGCTTTCTCAAGGCTTGAAGGTGATTGCTTGTGTTGGGGAGACTCTTCAAGAGCGGGAAGCTGGAACAACTATGAAAGTTGTTGCTGAACAAACTAAGGCAATTGCAGGTGATTTGGAAATTATTATATGTTTTATTTTTCATTTTTAAATTGCTTAATCGTTTTTTACAATGTGAAAGTAACAAACATCTATCATTTTCATGAATATCTTTTTTTTTTTTTTTTTTTAAAATTTTCAGATAAGATAAAAAACTGGGATAATGTTGTCCTGGCTTATGAGCCAGTTTGGGCTATTGGAACCGGAAAGGTTGCTACCCCAGCTCAGGCTCAAGAAGTAAGTAGGAGGGTATTTATGTCTTTTACACAAATAAAAGATCGATAGTGAATAATTGTCTTTAACATGGGATTGTTAATATTGGCATAAAAGGTACATGCGGAATTAAGGAAATGGCTTGAAACAAACATTAAGGCTGAAGTTGCTGCTAAAACTAGGATTATATATGGAGGTATGTTTATGATGCTTATGTTATGTTACACATGATAATTTGTAATAAAACAATAACTTATGGATCAACTTAAAACACGATGAAATTTATTATAATAACGTAAAAATTACTGTTAATAGATTCTGGATTTTAATTTACAGGATCTGTAAATGGTTCCAATTGCAAGGAATTGGCAGGACAAAATGATCTCGATGGTTTTTTAGTTGGTGGAGCTTCTCTTAAGGTAAACAATATTGTTATTTATATTCATTCTTGTTGCTCTATTTGACACGTGTCTAAATTAATTAATTAATTTTTTTTTTTCTAACATGTTTTATGCTTGATGTTGTAGCCTGAGTTTATTGACATCATCAAGGCTGCTGAAGTAAAGAAATGAATTTTGTATCGGTTGTGATGCCAAATTTTGATGATTTAATCAAGATGATCTCTTCAATTTATGATGCAATTGGCTGTTTTTTGTTTTTTAATTAAATTCGTTGTATGAAATAAGCAAATATTGAATATATTAATCGTTAGAAATCATGGTATGTCTTTTAAATTTAATGAACAGTCACATTAGTATTTTACTTATTATATAACTATCATTTGATTTCTGTTAATCTATTGAACTCTATAAAGTTTTATATATGGAACATTTTTTTTTAAAATTCAATTTTTTTTTATTTTTTATTTTTTATCATTCAATAATTCAATGAATAGTGAACTCTAAACCCATTGTATGTCAATTTGACATCCTACTATGTTTTAGTTTAATCATGCTATTGATCCCATTCAATACTCATAGTTCCTATTGCCTAAAATGCTTGATGACATTAAAATCAATTACAATAACTTTAATTTAATTTATCTACGTAATAAAATGCAAACATTTGTGGATAGAAACGAATATAATCTCTAATTGTACTAGTATATAGATACAAGTAAATGACAAAGTGAAAATAACAAGTCTCAAAAAGTGACCAATCGAAATGCATGGTGGAAACGGGAATCGGTTCTGATGAATACATTTGTAATTTGTTTGTACGGAGTCATGGATACCAAGATTCTAAGACATCAAAGAATAAAGACAATATGGGATAATGATGTTAAGCTACTTGTGTTGATCAATGTAATGCGAAAAAAAAAGTAAAGTGTATATGTTGAATCTAGAATGCAGCGAGAACATAATAGAGTAGATAAGAAAGAATTGTCAACGATGTAAGGTGATAGGTCATTTTGTTGTTTTTCTGATAGTTGAATTTTAATTATCTAATAAAGTACATAAAGTTTATTATTCTTTGGTTTTTAGTGATCTTTATTTTTCCCTATATATTTTTTTTACTTATAAATTATTATTATTATTATTTTTGCAATTAATCATTGTTCACCGCAATGTATATTCATATGCGTATTAATAACAACCACTCAACATTTTCTTTAACTTATATCTTAAATCAAAATTTCCACAATTTTACAACTTGTAACTATGGATGAACGTTTGGATCGAATATCCAAACTGGAACTAGATTCAAACTGAATGGTTCTCAGTTATGTATTTTAAACTTATTCGGTTATCGGGTATTTCGGTCCAGTTTACCTAGATAACTGATTATAAATGAATCAGAACCGGAAATTGAAGAGTCATTTTTTCTTATACTTGTAAAACTTTTCTTACGAAAATTACAACTTTTACAATCAATATGATTAGCAAATTCGAGCCAATGTCGTTATTTTTAGACCCTTAGTCCCTTTTCCTGCCATCGAAACTTGCTTTCCTATAAAACATTTCCATTACTATCTTAAATCATTGATGTCTACATGCACCTTTGTTTGTTGTTTATTTGTAATGATTTTTATGCTTATAGGGTTTTCGTTTATCAAATCTCCAAAAGCAGACAACTATTTTCAACTAGGATAGGAAAGTAAGAGATCTATTTATGTGAAAGAAGATGCATATCTAACAACTGTTTACCTCATTTTCAAATAACACCTTAAATTTTTTTTAAAAAGGACCAAGCTACCACCTTATATTAAAAAAAAGTACCAAACTATTCGGTTCAAACGCATAGTGTATATGTTTTTCCGTTAATATTCGAACTTGAACCTATATTACCTGAACTAAACCGGTCCTGTACTGTAAGGGATGGAGCGTTATAAGGGTCAGAAGCCCCCCCCCCCCCCCCCCCCCACACACACACACAGTTGTTATATAAGACTTTCTATTAGTACAAACGACAAAACTTCATAACTACAACTTTCTATTATGACAAACCACAAAACTCCATGATTACAACTAAATAATATGGTTTAATATGTAGTAAAAACAAAATATATAATGACTTGACGACTCTTTAAAATGTAGTCTTTTGGAATCATGGATGAATATTAGCAAACTAAATAATATGGTTCTTATTAATACGTAGTAAAATCAAAATATATAATGACTTAACGAATCTTTAAAATGTAGTTTTTTGGAATCATGGATGAATATTAGCAACTATTTTAAAATGAAAATTGAGTGTTAAAACGAAAAAGAATGGACTTGTATATATTCTTGTACGTGTGATGAGGTAAAAAGAAGAGTTCATATTCATTGTGGAGCCAACATTCCCTCTCAAAAACGAAAGACGATCGAATCCCAAAAGCTCAACATCTGCAAATTGCTTACAATCTCTTTAAATTTCACCCCAATCCCTGATAACACGAATCTTCTCCTCCTCCTAATTTCAACTCGAATCCCCTTTTGTTGTGGATGGAAAATTTTCATTACAGTTGTGAAGAATCAATCGCGTTTTACTCGTTTGCGTTTCATCCTTCCTATAAATACGATCATGGCCTGAGGTTTGTAATGCACAGTAGTATTGGGGTTCACTGCAATTTGAATTTGCTAGGGCTCGTAATACCACTTGATTTGGATTCAGGTAATTTCTCAATCTTTTCACTTACTCTCATCGTTCACCAACTTCTGTAATTTGTCGATTTCATCATTATTCTTACGATGTGCTTTTCAACTCAATTTTCTAGGATACTTTACTTGTATCTTCTTTTTGTTTATCGATCTTCAAACTCTTTTTGTTTATCGATCTTCAAACTCTTTTTGTTTATCGATCTTCAAATTGTGCACAAGTCCTATAACAAGTTTCGTAATGGATGCAGGATATTTTTCTTGTACATTTTTATTGATCAAGTCTCATAAAGTAATTTGTAAGTGATACAAGATGGGTTTCCTGGGAACTGTAAGCATCCTACTTCAATTTCTTCAATTTATGTTTCATCTTTTTTAGTAATTAATTGACACTTATAAAGTTAATATTCATTTTAAAAATATCTTTTTTGCTTCTTTTTCTCATTACCTTTTTTGCTTTTGATTATAGGACAATGATGGTATTCAAGAAACACAAATTGGTATGCTCTATTGCCTGCAAATTAACATATCTTTCTTCTTTAAAAAGTTTCTTTAACATATCTTCAATTTGGCAGTGATACGCAATGGAAGAGAAATCTTACTTCAGGTAACTACGCGTGTATAGTTTTCCAATACAACTGATTGTATTCATAACATTGTATTTTACTAGTTTCTTACTACACCATTGTACTTTCAAATTATCCCTTATTATGACCATGTACTTTCAAATATCTACATACTATTATGATGACATGACACAAATTAGCATATCTTTTTATGCAAACTCTGTTAAATTCTCAGGCTTTCAACTGGGAGTCGCGTAAACATGATTGGTGGAGAAATTTAGAACAAAAAGTACCCGATATGGCAAAATCCGGGATCACATCAGCTTGGTTACCCCCACCAACTAATTCGTTTTCTCCTGAAGGTTTGTAAATTTTCAAATCTAAAAACTATATGTATATTTGTATAATATCAGTTAAAATCAAGGACTTTATATATATCTAATATGGTATCAGAGCAATCTCAAACAGACCGTAGAGATATATTGTTACTTTTTGAATTTTTTTTTCGTAACTTTTCACAGGCTACCTTCCACAAAACCTATATTCTCTCAACTCTTCGTATGGTTCTGAGGCTTTGCTTAAAGATTTATTAAAAAAAATGAAGCAGTATAATATTCGACCAATGGCTGACATAGTTATCAATCATCGTGTTGGGACTACTCAAGGGCATGGTGGTAAATATAACCGCTATGATTGGATTCCATTGTCTTGGGATGAACGCGCTGTTACTTCTTGCACTGGTGGACTTGTATGTATCTTATCACCTCAAACCACCACACTAGAAATAAAATTAAAATTATCTGGATAAATGATGTTTAAAAAGTATTTGAGAAAATAACACAGGAAACAAGGTATTATTTGCAAAAAAGTTAGTATTTAATGGGGAAAACCCTTGTTGCTAACTTTTTTTAATCATGTCTTGTATTAAGTAAAATAGAAAAACTCACGTATAGCTTACCAGAATAATTCATTATACAAAGGGTAAAATGGTCATTTACTCTTTTCATACAGGGTAACAGGAGCACAGGAGACAACTTTAATGGAGTTCCAAATATTGATCATACACAAGACTTTGTTAGAAAAGACCTTATTGGTTGGCTAAAATGGCTACGTTACACTGTTGGTTTTCAAGATTTTCGTTTTGACTTTGCAAGAGGGTAATGTTTTATAGGGTCTTGAGTTTTATATTTTATAAAGTTTTATTGAAAAATTTATCATTATTAATTGTAGTTTACTAATTTTTCATGTAGTTATTCTGCAAAATATGTGAAAGAATACATCGAGGGTGCAAAACCAATATTTAGTGTTGGAGAATATTGGGACTCATGCAACTACAAAGGAACCTACCTTGATTATAACCAAGGTGAATAAATTGAATAAAATGCAACTTTTTTTTTTTTTTTTTTGTTTTAAACTTTTATATTCTTCTAAATTTTTAATATTATTGGAGAAAGTTTTTATGATTAACTTAACATATTTTTTGTTTCTGACTAATTTTAATTACAGATAGTCATAGGCAGCGTATAATCAACTGGATTGATGGCACAGGGCAACTTTCTACAGCATTTGACTTCACCACAAAAGGAATCCTTCAGGTAAAGTGAGTTGTATTATATGCATGAAAAGTTGTACATTAGTGTTTAACCTTTTGAAACTTTCATCTTTCCATGCAGGAAGCTGTTAAGGGGCAACTTTGGCGTTTACGTGATGCACAAGGGAAGCCGCCAGGTGTCATGGGATGGTGGCCTTCAAGAGCTGTAACTTTCCTTGATAATCATGACACTGGATCCACTCAGGTATACAATTTTAATTTTTCAAGAATTAGTGGATTTCATCATAGTATTGTTTGCATGCAGCCTTTAATCGATTTCATGCCCCTGCTCAAACTCCATTAACTTTGTGATTTGACCATTTTGCCATTATTCAAACACCTTTTCTGTTGGGGAAATGACCTCAAAGATTCCCAACAACCCGCCCAATGAAAAATAATGGAGAAATTCAACATGGAAAACTCCAAAACCAGAGAGTAGAAAAATTCACTATATGATAAATTGTTACAATCACATAAACAAATTTATTGTACAAATGTTGCAGGGTC